ATGGCAAGTATCCTACCTACTGTGCTATCTCTCTGGCCCTCTCTATATATATGTATGTGTGTGTGTGTGTGTGTGTGTGTGTGTGTATACATATATATAAAACTTTTTTTTAATTGAGAAAAAAGTTGATGTTGTTTAACTTTTATTAGCCCAGGTGATTTATGAGAGTTTGCTATTCTCTTGGGTTGCTATTATGAAAAACTTTTGCTATATTAACTTACTTGAGTGTAATAAATACTTATATAAACATATATTCTTTTCATGAAGAGAAGTGTATAATAATAAGAATAATTGTAACAACAAGGTCTGAAATTCCTGTTTCAAAACTCTTGAACTCAGATAAATTTATAAACCTAGATATGTTAGAAAGGTATTATAGTGCATAAGATGTGCATTTTGCATTACAGACCTGCACACAAATCAGTGATCGTTCCTTAACAAAGCTTAGGGAGGCTTCTACTGAATGAGATAAAGATTGAAAACAGATAGCTCAGAAGTGGAAAAAAAAAGGTCAGGTTTTGCAACAAATGGGTTTTGTTTTTATTGGGGTCATAGATGGGGGGTGGCATACCCAACAGTGCTCAGGCTATTCCTGGCTCTGTGCTCAGGAGTGACCCCTGGCAACACTCAGGGGTTGTTTTTAGGGATTGAACAAAGGCCTGCTTGCAAGACAAATGGCCTATGTTATCTGCAGCCCCCAAATAGGTTTTGATGTCATTAAAAAAAAATACTTGGTTTTCAGAGGAATTTGAATTGTGAATCAATTACAGTTCAGAGTTAACATTTATTGAGGACTGACTAAATGCTCAGTACTGTGCTAAGTGCTTTATACATGATCTCATTAAATACTCTGCCATTCCCATTTACAAGTAGGGGAAATTGATGCAGGGAAGCATTTACAGGCCAACATCATTCCACAGTTTAGGTAAAAGAGCTAGAATACAAGACAAAGCTAACATTTGCTAAGTCCTTATTATGTATCAGGTATTGTTTTAAGTACTTCACACATTCTCATTTATTTGATCAGCACCCAACCCTTTAAGATTATTAGTAATAATCTTATCATTATGCACATTTAACAGATAAGAGGCAATGGAAGTTTATATAAATGCATAAGGTTCACTCTGACAATATGCTCCAGACTATATGTGCTTAGCCAGTGTGAGTTATATGAGTACATTGCAATAAAACATCTGACTGTGAGATTCAGCAAAACTAATTACCACATTAAAGACTCAAGCAAGTCTTTCCCAATGGATTTCCTGAAATATCAGCCTTGATGTTACTCTTCATTTTTCTTTTTTTTTTCTTTTGGTTTTGGGGCCTCACCCAGTGATGCACTGGACTTACTCTTGGCTTTGCACTCAGCAGTCACTTCTGGCCTGCCCAGAGACCATATGTGGTGCCAGGAATGGGACCCAGGTTGGCTATGTGCAAGGCATCCACTGTTCCATTGCTCTGGCCCCTAGTGTTATTTTTCTTATACTTGGATATATTTAGTACAGATTTTATCATTTCTTTGTGCTGAATCATTTATTTACCTGTCTTTACATCTTCTTATGGGCTGGAGCGATAGCAAGCGGGTAGGGCTTTTGCCTTGTAATTGGCCAACACGGCCCACCCGAGTTTGACTCCTCCGCCCCTCTCGGAGAGCCCGGCAAGCTACCGAGAGTATCTCGCCTGCACCGTAAAGCCTGGCAAGCTACCCGTGACATGCTTGATATGCCAAACACAGTAACAGTTGTCACAATGGAGATGTTACTAGGCCTGCTCGAGCAAATCGATGAACGGGAGGACAGTGACAGTGACATCTTCTTGTATCTCCCCTACCCTATCTCATTGCTTGCTTAGTTACTAAAAGAGAATAAACATGCACTTACCCATAATTTCTACAATATCTGGGCCTTTTAGAAGACACTTTCAAAACCTTGCCATTCCTTTCAAGTAACCAAATTTGCTCCAAGCCATCGTAAACTTTTCACCTCGAGTAGAATTCTGAGCACAACTACTGCCTTTGATATTAAAAGAGGTGTGAAGAGATATGTGAAGGCCAGTATTCTTGTTGACTTTATTCTGGAGAAAGCATCTTCCTCTCTAGCTATTTATTTGGCCACCATGTTGACTCTGCGGTTGGCAACAGCAGCTAGAAGCTGTGAAACATGTCTTCAGATTTGATGCCCTTGGCAATCTAGCAGAATTAATTTGTGGTCATCTGAGTGACTTGCCATGTTAATGGTGCACTTACAGGAAAATTTTCACTAGGAGTTACCAAAGGTTTTATTTGGATATCCTCGGTTATTGTTCTATCAATAAATATATTAACTTTTTTTTTTTTAAATGTTCAAAAACCTTTCCTCGTTCAATCCAGAGAAGACCAGACTCATCTTAGGAATCTTGAGATGACTCACTCAGGTGAAAATAGTAAGGAACCACTGTCTAACACCAGCTACCCTTGGCAAGTTCCAAATACACCTCTCATTATTTATATCCTACCGGAATATTCTGATGCAGACCACTGAACTGCCAGTGACTGTACCAGGAGAACTCAGCAGGGACCTCAAGTAAGAGAGGACGACCCACCAGGGAAGGGCCTGACCAGAAGCCCCTGCGCTCGACTCCATCCTGACTAAGGACTGTGTTGCCTCCAGGAAGGGTTCCAGATGGGAACAAATTGGGGCACAGTCAAGCAGACAGCCCCTGTAACTCCCAGGAAGCTGAGCTCCCTGGAAAACCCCAGGCTGCGTCTGGCCCCTGAAGCAGAGCAGCCTCCTCCCCAGGCCCCTTGCCCTGTGTCTCAGGGCTTCAACGCTCTTTCCCCGTAAAGTCTCCTCCCTGGTCAGCATGCAGGTTCCTCAGCTCAGTCCTTCCCAGTGTCAGGTATGAGCCCACCGTCGGGCCTCGAGAGGTTCCTTCAGTAACCAAAACACCTTTTTTTTCCATTTCCCCATGTTGAAGTTTGTCCTGCAGGTCAGTACTGTCGTGTTGTTCTGTAACACGGTGTGATACTCTTCTGAATCTTTGCCAGCTCAGGGCCTGAATTCAGCGTGGCCTCAGGCCACTGCAAAGCCTGTCCTGCCTCTCCCCACATTGCTGCCTATTTCTGGGGCTATCCCAGGAGGGATCTACCTCCAGGAGGTTCACACGTGGCCTTGCTTGGAACTTTTGAGGTAACCTTAATGCTGCTGTGCGTTTTTCTAGAAACACAGGGAAGGGCTACAGGAAGCTGGACTGCTTTGTGCCCCACCCCCCTTGCAGTTCTGTCCTTGCTTTTCTCCATCTTCCTGCCTTCTTGACGCTTCATCTCATTGGCCATGACTTTGAAATGCTAGCACTAAAAGGAAAGACAGCAAAACTCCTGTGTTGTCTACTCCCTCTCACACTGTTTCTGCTGTACATGCCAGATGCTTTTCTCCTTAACCTTCTTTTCCTCCTTATTCTGGTTCATTCCCCCATCACTTTTCCAAGTCTCTCCACTAATTACGCCCAGCACATTGGATTGTTTTCAGATATATTTTTTTTCTATAATGGTTCAAAAGCTACTTATTTGCAGGAGACCTGTGTGAGGTGTGTATTGGTTTGGTTTTTCCCACGTTCATCTCCACTTTCAATGCTCTCCAGGCTGCCTGAGGTGCTCTGCCTTCGTATAAGTGTTAATGCTCCATCAATGACTTCTTGTCCTCTACTGACATACACGGTACTAGATCAAAAAATCATTGCAGAGGTATCGTGGTGGGTTGGTCTAAAAGGATTGTGTGGGATTATCTTTAAATCAAAGTTTGATAGAAAGATGGATGTACAGAGTAAGGGAAATGGCTCAAGGGATTAGTGGGCATGCTTTACATGCAGAGGATCACTGGCAGCAACCCTCGAGCACAGAGCTGGAGTAATGCGCGATCACTACACTTGGCCTTGCATGTAACTGACACCACATGTGACACATGGCCAGGGGTCACTATTGAGCATAGAACCAGGACTAACTTGTGGAGGGAGAGGGAGGACAATCAGCATTCCAGCCTACTCTTAAAATACAGCTCCTCCTCCTATGACAGAGAAATATGTAGGGGTTTGTTTTGGTTTTCCCAAACTGGAGGGTTTACTCTACATGAAAAATGAAACAAATACTCATTTTGTGTAAGTATATGCATATACATACTGCATATACATGAATATGTATATGCAGATTAATTATCAATTTAATTTACAATATACCCTGTCGTGGGAGAACATGAACCATGAAGCTACATTATAGAGCTTAACAGGTGGCCAGAGCAGTAGTACAGTGGAGAAGACATTTGTCTTGTATACAACAGACCCAGATTTGATCCTGGCACCATATATGGAACCCTGAGCACAGAACCAGGAGTAGGCCCTGTCCCTCCACCCCCCTGCAAAAAAAAAAAAAAAAGATGTAATTAATTGCTCATGAGTTCATCCCAAGGGTGTTCCCTGAGAGAAAGAACATGGATAGTATTAAAGTGCTTTTTTAAGGTAAAAGGCAATTATTAGATTTTGATTGATTCCTGCGGCAACTTTAATTTCTGGAGTAGATAATTTAACATCAGTATTCAAAATATACAGCAAGAATCAAAAAAGATACACTTTTTTGTTTCCTCAAGAAAAATGTACATTCACTCTTTGGTAATTAAAAGGGCATAATCAGTTTAACTCAAAATGCAGATTATAATCAGGTCAAGCTTGTTATTAGGGAGGAAATATTAAACTATTCCCTTAATTGACTTTGTGGTCACATACGTACTTAATAATAGTAAAGTTGGTTCTAGTAAGAAAGTTCAAGTTTTCAGATAATGCCCAGTTGGCCCGTCTCAAAAATTCTGAGTTTTCCTCCTTGTACTCAGTGTTTACACTAGGTGGCATGCAAGGAAAGCTGAACAAAAGCAGAAACTTGACTCTTCCAAGAGAGAATTCTTGGGCACAAAGCTTGTGCATCGGGTCTAGCGTGTGGAATGGGTGATGTGTGATTTTTCTCTCTTTGTCCCCAGGATGAAGTGTCCTCTTGCTGGCACCAATAAAAGATTTCTCATTAACACAATTAAGAATACGCTGCCCTCCCATAAAGAGCAAGACCAGGAGCCAAAAGAAGGCAGTAAGGAGCCGGCAGCGAAAAGCCAGGCCCCGAAAGAAGAAAGCCGCAAGAAGCACCGGTCGCACCCCTACAAGCACAGCCTCTCAGGCCGAGACTCGGTCCGAGCTTCCCCATCCAGGTCCAGGAAGCGGAGCAGCAGGGAGAAGAGTGACAGGCGCTCCAGCAGGCGATGAGCCCCAAGAAGAAGCCAGCTATCACCAGCCACTTGCGCTGTGCTCTCTGCAGCCAGAGCTGTGCAGAGGTTCTGGAGCAAAAGCCCTGACCTGCCCAAACAAACAAATACAAGTGATTTTTTTTCTCTTTCTTTTCTTTTTATTTCTTTTCTCTCCCCCCCCCTTTTTTTTCTTATAGCGGTTCCTTTGTTGGGACCAGCAGAAAATGACCCAGAAACTCTTCAAGGAAATCAGCACAAAGAGCCTTGCTCTGAAAATGTGTTGGCAAGTTTAAACTACTTTAGCAGCACAGTCTCCATATGTATTATTTTTATGCTGTTTTGTTTGAAAGTTAGTTTCAGAATAAACCTAAAACCTCTTAAGTTTTCAGAGATTGGCAAAATTAGTGGGAATGTTCATGATGTGCTGCAATTGTGGTCATTTCTCTAAAATTTCTCAAAAAACAATAATAAAATACTCATAAATCCTATACTTCACTGTTTTGGGTAACAGATTAAAAATTTAGAAGTCATCTGGCCAGTAACCATATTTATGAAAAGTTTTAGTGCTTTCAAGACTAGAAATTCACCAAGAAACTCTTGAATAGCTCTGTATTTGTTTTCATGTAAGTGAGCATTGTAGAAAATTCTTGCAATGGCTTTGAATTTAGTGTTCCATGATTATTAATAACCAGGGGTTTGAAAATTGTCTCCTTTTGCTTTCTCAAACTTAGAACAAATTTTCTATATTTAGTTTTTTAGAGAATGTAAGTTTTAAGTGGTGCTTTAACAAGAACCCTTAAACATTAAAATTAACAGTAATTTTTAGTGCTCTACCTTATTTAGCTGAAGACCTGTGATACCACTCTTAGGGTAGTTATTTCAGAAATCCTGATTTTAAATAAAAGTGTGTTTACAATGCCTTTCCTCAAGACCAGTGTGACTCTGTTTTAATGTACAATTATAAACCTTTCAAACCTGTATTCCTCCTTTCATACTCCAGAAAATTTCACCAAGCACCCTCTTCACCGCCCATAAAAGGAAGAAGAATCTGTCTCTCTGTGTCCCCCTCCCCAATTTTCCAAAGCGTCTGACCTTATGCCTGGCTGCTCCCAGATAATCGCTTGCCACAGGCTGCTCTATGCTTCCTGGCAGCCAAGAAAAGCCCTTTCTAAACACTAGAAAGGAGCACATCCGAAAAGTTAGCTTCAGGGTGTTTAGACAGAAACCAGAATGGATTGTGTGAGCTACCCCCACCCCACTGCCCTGCTGCTGTCTGAGCTGCAAGCTCAGGAGTGATAAAACCCACAGCCTACCACTGCATCCTGACCTAGAACCCAAGATCCCGGGACCTCATCTGAGCAGCAGCACACCTTCCTTTCAGACATGCAGGTGGAATGTTTTGGTTCATAGGATTTGAGCCAAATCTGATTTTTGCATTATTAACCTGTGTTATTCTGCTGAGTTTGAGATATTTCGTATTTCACATAGCACAAAGGGCTCATTCTATTTGGTTTTTGTTTAGCTTTGGAGCCACAGCTGAACAGTTCTCAGTGGCTATTTACTCCTGGCACCATATCGAGGAGAGGGGGGTCCTCTGCTGGCAGTACTCAGGGACCATGCAGTGCTGGGGATCAAACCTGGACTTCCTGCTTGCATAGAATGTGCTCAGCCCATTGAGCATTCTCATCCTGAGTCTTAAAGTTGAAAAAAAAATTGTAACTAAGCAAAATCAAGTTGAATTACCTAATTTTGCTGTATACTCCATTGGAGATTTTGTTGTTACTGTGTTTGGCATATCGAATACATCACGGGTGGCTTGCCAGGCTCTGCCGTGTGGGCTAGATACTCTGGGTAGCTTGCCGGGCTCTCCGAGAGGGGCGGAGGAATCGAACTCGGGTCGGCCATGTTGGCTGTGTGCAAGGCAAACGCCCTACCGCTGTGCTATCCCAGTAGGTTTTTAAAGGAAATAATTATAATGAATGCATTCTTGTACTAAGGAATAAGAAGGAAGCTTTTCAGCCTTTAATTTACTTACTTTTATTACATAACCATATTAAAGGACAAGAGTTCTACGCAATTATTTTCCCTTTTGAAACCACTGTTCCACAATCTCTATTAGGGATATAGGGTTAAAGGAACTCTCATCCACTGCTGGTGGGAATATTGTCTGGTATAACCCCTGTAGAAACAATGTGGAGAGTTCTCAGGAAACTTAGAATTGAACTGCCATATGACCCAGCAATACCACTTTTGGGCATCTACCCCCAGGGCATAAAAACACTTTCAAAATAACATGTGCACAACATTATTCATTGCTGCACTCAGAACAATAGCTAAGAATCAACCTAGGTGTCCAACAGATGAATGGATTACGATGATGTGGTATATATACACAATGGAATACAATGTAGCTGCAAGAAATGATGAAATCATGCAGTTTCTGCAACATTGTTGGAACTGAAAAATAATCATGTTGAGTAAGCCAAAAGAACAACAAACACAATGATCTCATCTCTCTGTGGTATATAGAATAACTGAATGAGTAAGTGTAGTAGTAGGAGGATGCCTAGATCACCCTTGACCCCAGTGTTCAAAGAAGAGAAGGACAGAAGAAAAGCAAGGGGAGAAGAAAAGAATGGGAAGTAAAGGATGAACAGGCATCAGGCCTTCAGTTATACTGGTAGTAGGGTGAGTGGTATAGACATACATCCAAAACACAGTCTCAGCAAAACGGAAAACATGGGATCTAAGATGCAGATGCAGCCCCTGGAGCTATAAGCTGTGACTGTGAGTGAAGTTGACAGACGGGAATGGGGCCCGGGAGTTGTGGGTGAGGAGGAAAGTTGATACTGACAGTGGGATTGTTGTTGAAATATTATATGCCTAAAACTCAGTAACTTTGTGGATCACAGTTCTTTAAAAAAAAAAAGTTAAATAAGTAAAGAAATAAAAACCAACTCTGTTCCAGTGGCCGAGAAGATAACTCTAAGGGTGTGCGTGCATGTGCTTTGTATCCAGAGGCCTGGATTCAATCCCCTTCAATCTGTGGTCCCATGAGAACCACCAGCTGTGGCCTACAACCAAAAATAAATAATCAGCCACTTTCCACATGAAAATCTAGAATCTTTAAAACTTCCATGCGGAGCAGCTAGTTTCCTGCATTTATGTGTCAAGAGAATATATTGTCTCCACTCTTATTCTGTATGCAGTAGTGTTACAGGGAAGGCATTGGTCCTGAGATACACCCCAAATTCCTCCTATACAACCCACATACTGGCTCAGCTGAGTTTCCATCTACCTCAGTGTCACTTCCCCAAAAGAGCTGTATTTAGAGATCACAGAGCCCAAGACAGTGAATCTCGCCCAGCCTCTCATGTTGACTGGCTGGCAGGCCTGATGGGAATCACTTCACTGAACTACCTCCTTTATCTGCTGGATGTTTGGACTCGGTCCCTAATTTTTTATTTGGGGTTTTTTGATTTAGGGACTATGCCCAACAGTACTCAAAGGCCAGAGCTGCATTCTGTTCAAGGGCCACCCGTGGCAGTACTCCAGGGACCATGCGGAGCTGAGGATCCAGCCCAGTCCTCCCTCATGCAAATCATGTGCTGCAGCCCATTGAACTGTCTGGATCCTGGATTCCTAACTTTAAAATATGTTGATGAAGGGGGAAAATGCTGAGCCTTATGTTTTAGGAACTACTTTCGTGCTTCCACCATGAAATTCTGAAGTTCCTTTTGATTTAAGAGGCAGAACTGCCTAAATTTTGGGTAAACTATTATTCTTTCATAAATCAATGAAAGAATGATTAATGAAATCATTGATGCACCTTGGCATGGAATTTAGAGTCCTACTTCTTACCCTTATTCTTATTACTTTGGTTTGGGGACTATACCAGAGAGGAGCACTGCAAGAAACTGGGACTTGCCTTTTAACCAGATCAATGTACTTTGGGAAGTCACAGGGTGCTTTATGACCAGAGAGAGAAGCCTGCTAGCAGTCTGGTGTTGACTTAGGGAAGCTGAGTCTACTTGTCTTACTAGGCGAATAATATCTCTTAACCCCATCATTCACTCAGTCTAGTTTGACAATTGTTTTGCTTACTTCAGGAATTTGCCCTCAGGATCTATGGCTTGATCACTTGACATCCCATTACTCATCGATTTACTCGAGTGGGCGCCAATAACGTCTCCATTGATCACTGTCACATGCTATATTGTAGCCCAATGGCATCTGCTCGTTCTTGGAATATGAACAGCCTCAAACCGATCATTTAGGGTCTTAACGAAGAAGTCTGACCATCTCATAGGTGGGTGGCCACGCGATCTTTTGACATCCAGTGGAATCCAGGCTAGTCCACTGGTCATCTCCAAATCTTATTATGGGTCCAGCCCGTCTGATTTTCGACGCCTTGGCAAATGAGACAGCGTCCCTGATTCTTGATCGTCAACAGCGGTCGGAAATCTGGATTCTTTCTCTCATTTGAGTGAAACGTGTACTCCAAGCATAGCTCTTTCAAATCCTCTTTGGGAGACCCTAATAGCATTCTCATCCTGTTTTCATAGGGCCCAGATCCCTGAGGCGTATGTTAATGCAGGAAGAACAGTGGAATCAAAGAGATGTGCCCAGAGCCAGAGGTTCTTCGTCCTCTTAGCTATCTTCAATGCTCTTGAAGGCGTTCCAAGCCACTCTCTTCCTTCTGCGCAACTCAGGTGCCAGGTCATTCGTCATGTTGACTTCTCGACCTAGGTACACATAACTGTTACATTCGGAGATGTTCATTCCGTTGAGAGCAAATGGAGCGTCAGGAATGAGACCGTTTCTCATAAACATGTCTTCATGAGATTCAGCTGTAGTCTGACCTTTCCACACTCACGGTCAAAGTCGGCCAGCATTTGTGCTGCTTCACTAATGTTTGGTGTTATTAGAATGATGTCATCAATAAAGCGGAGGTGATGTAGTTGCCGACCATGTATCTTCACTCCCATTCCTCCCCATTCCAGTTGTCGCATGATGTTCTTGAGGGTGGCACTGAAGAGTTTCAGTGAAATTGTATCACCCTGCCGAACCCCTCTCGATGTCAATGATCACCTCCCTGTAAAATGGTGAGATCCTGGTAGTGAATCCGCAATACAGCTCATGGAGGATCCTGATGTATTGAATTTGAATGCCCTGTTTGGCTATGGCTTCATTGACCGCTTCTGTCTCAACAGAATCAAAGGCCTTCTTTAAATCAATGAATGTTAGACAGACTGGTATCTTGAACTCCCAAGAAACCGCAATGAGCTTGGTTATCATGTGAATATGGTTGATTGTGCTGAAACCCTTTCGGAAACAGGCTTGCTCACATGGTTATCCTTTATCTATTGTTCTGCCAATCCTATTCAGGATGACTCAAGTGAACAGCTTGTAGATGACAGACAACAGGTAGATCTGGCGATAGTTGCCAGTGTCGTGGATGTCTCCCTCCTTGTACAGTAGTTCAGTCCTGCTGGTTTTCCATTGAGATAGAACCTTGCATTCAGACAGGTAGGGTGTGAAGAGCCGAGCCAGTGTACTGATGAGTACTGACGGCAGGTTCTTCAGGTGTTCGGGTCTGACCTTGTCTGGGCTGGGTGCTGTTTGCTTCTTTACTGATGAAATGGCGTATTGGATTTCAGAAGGGAGAACATGGGGAACGACATATCCATCCTGCAGAATTTGGTATGTGGGCAGGTGGACATGGCTATCGAAGAGATCTGAGTAGAAGTCATGGATGATCTTCTTCATTGCCCTTCTGGAAGATTTGATAGATCCATCAGGATGTCTGAGGGCAGTCATCTTGGTCTTGTGGTTGGTGAAGGATAGGCAGGCATTGTGAATGCTTTTCCCAGCTTCTGCCGCATCTGCTAACACTGCTGCTCTTCTCTCTTTGAGGT